TTGACATATTAATATCAGTAGAGTCAATTGTCACAGGTACAGTAGGCTAATATTACACAAGTTTAATGGTACGATAACGTTGACATATTAATATCAGTAGAGTCAATTGTCACATGTACATTAGCCTAATATTACACAAGTTTAATGTTAATATAACGTTGACATATTAATATCAGTAGAGTCAATTGTCACACTTACATTAGCCTAATGTTACACAAGTTTAATGGTACGATAACGTTGACATATTAATATCAGTAGAGCTAATTGCCACAGGTACAGTAGGCTAATATTACACAACTTTAATAATAAGATAAAAAGTGGTTGACATAAAGCAAAATAAAGTATCCTTTCAGTATCCAAATGCTTGAAAGTTTTAAGTATTGTTTAATTTTTTACTTGTTCAAAACATCTAAAGTATACCTTATTTCACATTTCACCAGCAATTCCGAAAAAAGCCGAAAGTGTTGTTCCTAAATACATATATATATTATGGAAGATATTAGTTTTATATTTGAAGTTTAAACAATTGAATAATGATTTGTTTTCCTCCAAAAATTATATATTCCACAAACCTAAGTTTTTGTTTATTTGTAAAATGTGTTGAAAGTACTGAACACTCCTTGGACTACATCTATCTGGACTTTTAAATTGGACAACATTAACATACTTGTATTTATGGGCTGAAGGAGCTTTGGAACATTCTCATCTACATGAAATGGTGGCGTGGCAGAAACCGGAGCACTATAAGAAACACCCACTGTGCTGCTGACTGGAATGGAACCGCTGCTTCCAACACCTGCACCATTTACTTGAGAAATAAGGATTCCAAAACCTGAATTTGAAATTTCTGTTTTACTGTTTCCAACAGAAAATATCTGATCAAGATCATCAAGGTCACTAGAAGTTTTCACACCATTCATGGCGGAAGATGGTGATCGCCGTGGTGACGTACTCTGTTTTGAGTCGCTCAAGCCTGTATAAAAACAGCAATTAGTATTATTTCATATGTTTTTTTATAAATACAAAAATCAAATTGAACTAAAAACAAAATTCAACAACAAGGTTTAATAGTGACGAACAAAGCTATATTTGTCTACTGTCTTAAAAATGAATGTTATAAAAGTGTAAAGTAATAGTGAGTCCCTACTTACCAAAAACACCATTGCCTGATTTGCATGTATTTAAGTGAGAATAGAAATAGTTAATATAAAAAGAAAGAAATGAAGACAAATTACTTTTTTTTTTACCTAAAGCTAACAGCTGATCATCTAAAAGACTTGAATCCACACGCTGAGAACCACATTTCTCTGTAGGAGATGCGAGGTCCAAGAGTGAAGTTTCACCTACACAAATAAGAAAGATAGAAACCCCAGGCTTTAATGTGAATCTTTAGAATCAATTCAAAACATTATCCTTATTTTTGTTCAATAACTCATCTTTTTTTTATTTGTAATAACAATAGTAAAGCACTTTAACTGTTTGTGTTACTATTACATGTACAAACATGCTTCATTCATATGGTTTATACATTTAGATAATTCTCACTATCAAAGACTTTTCCCATGATGTAAAGTTTAATTTATTGGACCTTGTGCTTGGAGTCCTCCCAGGATCCTGGTATAAGCTTTGGCACCAAAGCTTCCTGGCTAGAAAATTATTTTATTTTAAGGGGTGGGGTTTTAGCCTCAGCTTCTCTTGTCTGGAAATCCCACAAATCTAAACACATCTATGACTATTTTTTGCTTACTTTATCATCTCTATATTTATACAAGTTAAAAAGTAATATCCGAGTTATCATTGGCCACCCTAGGTATTCACAACAGAGTCTTTAATAGGTATAGTTCTTGACATAAAACTGAGACATGAAATTTCATTAAACATACAACTATATAATTATTTAAATATTTTATTATCAGCTTCATAATGTCAGATTATCGTGTCTATTTTTAATAGGTAAATGTAGTGGGTTTTTTTTACTCATGAAACTAATTTATTAAAGTTTTGTACTAGCTATTGACAAGTTAATCTAACAGCCCTAAAGGGTGACAGATTTTTTACTCTTACAAAGTAAAACATGCTTAATTATTCTTCATAAGGTTTACTTGCTGCTCCAATCCTGCATGAAGAGTTTCTAGTTGTGCTATTTTATCTTTTGCTGATCTATGTATATTGTTAGAATGAGATAAGCACGACAAGTTGCACGAAGACTCGACCTTAGAGGCAAATTTATCAAGGCCTCCATATCTTACTGGCCTACTTTCCCTTTCAAAGACTTAACATCCTGTACTAGACTGTTTATTTGCTCATCTTTTTTGTTTCATCATTTAGGTAAGCTGACAGTGCTATAATGATCTCCAAATTGGCTAAAATTCCAACTCCTGGTCAGCCATAAACCTCTGAGTGAAGTCGGACTACTATTGGACACATTTCAATTTATGGAAAGTATGTTCTACAGCTAATTAGTCCTGGAAGAGAAGGTGTAACGAAGAACTGGTGGACACCGAGTTATGTGCCCACTCTGTTAGTTACGAGGTCCAAAGTTCTCGAATTCTAACCCACTTTGATGCACAATTTCATCAGTGTATATGTGAAGCTAGTATACATTCTCACCACAAGAATCATCTCTAAGACAGGTCTCCACCAAATACTGTAGGCTTTTAAATATGTGTCAGTAAATACTTTCCAAGGATCCAAAGATGAGAGGTATTGTAAAAGTCCATACCGTAGTGGACCCGTGTTCAAAAATTGCTTCACAGTGCCATAGAGAAAGTTTTCACATTGCAAGTTGAATGAAGTCACTGTCTGCTTTAGAAAGTAACTAATTCATCAAGATTTTCTCTTCTTCAAACCAAATATCAATTTTTGTATGTGGAAAATGACTGTTTGTACCAGATAGATCCACCTTTAGAAGTTCATGTGTGATATGTGCACATTTCTTTTTATTACCTGTTATGAAGCTATCCATAATACATTTGAAAATAGACAGAAGGTCTGATGTTATTAAGGCTTATCTGTTCTGCTGTACATTGTCAGAAGTGAGGTAATCATTGTAGGTAAAGAGATAAAAATGTCACCATTTATTGGAAGTAGTAAATCTTTTCATTCACCACTCAACTAAATATGACTTGGTCTTTGGACTAGCCTCTGAGTCTTTTTTTAGCCACAGCATAGCAGCTCATAGAATGGCTCTTTGTTTTTTAAAGTACAAACTCTTGATCAATTTGAGATCTAATTGCAGCCATGGCTATTGAGGATTCCCTCTTATTTATATTATCAAACACTATATGGACTTTAATGGCCAAAAACTATTAATGCTTCTGTTCTTTAGCCACGAGCTCCTGATATATATGTTAGTAGCCATGCGACTCTACTGCTGCTTTACAAATCATAAGCTTTACTTTACATGACAAGTAAAAACCAGTCACTTTGAAATAATTTTTAATGGCAAAATAATGACATAAAAACATCTTTTATATATACTTTAAAATCATTACCATATTTTACACACTATCCAAGCTAAGAAGAACCAGTTAAAATACTTTACAAATATTCACACACATACTGAAAATGTATTTGTATATGGCCACATAAATACCATCTCTCAGACATTTGTTTGTGCCCACTATAGGTACTGAAACCTGATTTTTAGTGTTGAAAGTCTTCAGACTTACCATTGAGCCAACAGGGGGGCTCTTTCAAACCTACAATATTTAAAAAAACAAGTAAATATAATGGACAAAAATTGACTGGAAACCATTAATAAAAGAAAAAAAACAACAACTTTCTTTAAGTTTGTAGAAAGTTGTACTGCTAAAAAAATATATCATCTTTTACCTGTTTTAACAGGGTGAAAATCTCCAAGGTTCAACTTGTATTTCCTTTGTCAAACACCATTACTAAGATCTAAATAATGATCAATTTTATCTAACAAAACCTACCCAAACATTAGAGAAGTTTCACTTACTTTTATGATTTCTGTCTGCTAAAAATTCCACAGGTCCAACATCTTGTCCAAGGATAAGCTTCTTGTATGTGTTTATCACTGTTGTAAGATTATCACTAGCCTTTAAAATATCACCTAAAACAATATATAGTGTGTTACATCAAAACAGGGAAGAGAAACGGGACATTTCAGCACAAACATTTTAAAAAACAAAAGTTTGATATGAAATGTACCAATATAACACCTAAAACAATATATAGTGTGTTACATCAAATCAGGGAGGACAAATAGGACATTTCAGCACATAAACATTTTAACTCTTTCAACATGGGCTCGGTCAATTTGACCAACCACGTAACCTCTTTGTACTTGATTAAAGTCTTTATAGATTTAATACTTCTATCTTTCAATATAGTATGTATATCTTCACAAAATTTGGAAGTTTTTCAGTTAACATTATAAGTCTTTCACATACAAAAAATCAAATTTTTTAGTGAGGTATTTTTAATAAAATAAAATAAAGATTTGTCCATGAATATATTGAGTATTTGTTTTGCATAGTCCGTGTGCAGAGTAATTTTCATGTTAAAATTAAAATTAAATGAACTTCAAAGATTAAATGTAAGAGTCCTCGAACACTTTGACCTAGCCAGTAGCAAAAGAATTAAGAGTATTATAAGGACTTCTAAAATCTAGTAATGGAGGCCAATTTGGAATCACAAACTTGGTCGAATCGACCTAGCCAGTAGCAAAAGAATTAAGAGTATTATAAGGACTTCTAAAATCTAGTAATGGGTCAAAGTGTGCATGTTAAAACTTTTACTGAAAAACATATTGATATTAGATTTTAGAGATTACATAAATGAAATTTGACCATTTTCAGGTGAAAAGTATTTTTAATCTTAACATGAAAATCACTTTGCACTCGGAGCACTGAACATTTGACACCATATATTTATGAAGAAATTTTTAATAAAATCATGATTTCTTGTTTACAAAAGACTTGTAATGTTTACTGAAAACTTGCCAAGTTTTGTGAAGATACACAAAATATATGGAAACTGGAGGCCAATTTGGAATCACAAACTTGGTCGAACTCAAAATCTAATCTTGGGTATAGTTGGGATCCTCAAAATCTAGTCTTGGGAGTCGCAGGAACTCTCAAAATCTAATTAAGAATGTTATAAGTACTTCTAATATCTAGTTAATCCTCTCAGTATGGGAAAGTTCGTAAACTTTCCATGAGGTGAATTTGGTAAAATTCCAATGAGTTCATTCTGGAAGTCTTTCAGTTAATTTCATTAACCTAATAAAAAGAAAGAAAGTAAAGCTGGACAAATGAATCAGACTGAGCCATGTGTTGCAGCATTTTTAACATGAATCAGACTGAGCCATGTGTTGCAGCAATTTAAACATGAATCAGACTGAGCCATGTGTTGCAGCATTTTAAACATGAATCAGACTGAGCCATGTGTAGCAGCATTTTAAACATGAATCAGACTGAGCCATATGTTGCAGCATTTTTTAACATGAAAAACTGTTCTCAAGTAGATGCTCAAAAAAACAGAATAAAATATTAATTATGAAAACCAATGTGCATATATTAGTTTTATATTAAATACTATTTTTGTTACTTGTCATTAAATTATTTGTAAGAGGTTAAGAAAATTTCATTTTTCAAAATTTTTACACATACTAAAAAAATTGCCTCAACTGTATAATTTAAAAAAGTGGCTTAAACTAAAGAAAGTTCTGTCAAAAATCTAATAATTTTGAAGAAACAATAAAGTGGTAATTATAGCACAATTCACTGCACACATTATCACAGTCCTATGTTCGAGTGATAACATAAGTCATTAGGGTACAACCACAAGAGCACCACATACACATCATCAATTTACAGCAATTAGTGATTAGGTTAATAGAAACTATAATAATCACAAGAGCACCATGTGCATGTCATTAATTCACATTAATGAGTGAATAAGTTACTATAACAATCACAAGAGCACCATGTGCATGTCATTAATTCACATTAATGAATGAAGGTGCTCTTGTGATTGTTATAGTAACTTAATGTGCATGTCATTAATTCACATTAAATGAGTGAATAAGTTACTATAACAATCACAAGAGCACCATGTGCATGTCATTAATTCACATTAATGAGTGAATAAGTTATTATAACAATCACAAGAGCACCATGTGTATGTCATTAATTCACATTAATGAGTGAATGAATATGTT